CCGCGCCCGCCGCCCCCAGCCTGAGGCCGGACGACGTCTTCATCGCGGTCAAGACCACCCGGAAGAACCACGGGCCGCGCCTGCGGCTGCTGCTGCGCACCTGGATCTCCCGGGCCCGCCGGCAGGTGCGCCGGACCCCACCCGCCCCGGCTCGCAGGGCCCAGCCCCGGGGGCTCCGCGTGGCGCGGGTCGGTCCCGGCCTGGGCAGCGCCCCCGGCGTCTCACGGATCGTTTCTCCCCCAGACGTTCATCTTCACCGACGGGGACGACCCTGCGCTCCAGCTCCAGGGCGGTGAGTGTCTCCCGAGCCCCGGCGCCCGCGGGACCTGCCCGCGCCCCGCTCCCCGCTGCCTCCGAGCCCCGGAGCTGCGGCCCTTGCGCCGCCGGGAGCTCAGGAGGTCGGGGGGGGCCACGCGCGGCGCGGCCCGGGCCACACAGCCCGCGGGGGCCCACCCTGCCAGCCAAGCCCTGCTCGCCACCGGCCCCTCACACTGGCCGCGTCCTAGGGTGTGGGGCCACTGCCAGGCCCCCTGGAGAAGCCGCAGCAGGGAACCCGCCCTTCCAGTCCAAGTCCGGGTGCGCTGCGTCCGTCCTCTTCCCACTCAAGACGTCTCAACGAGTGGCCATCCACTTCAGCCCCAGGGGCACCAGCAGGGTCAGCGCGCGAGGGCCAGGGCTGTGGCTGGACCTAGGCAAGGTGTCCGGGCATGTCAGCCAGCCAGATTGTGCCGTGGCCCTCGGGGGCAGGCGGGCACGGGACTTACCCCGGTCCCCGTGCCAGCCTCCACCTGCTTCCCGTCTCCGAATCGCAGGCGGTCGTGTCATCAACACCAATTGCTCCGCCGTTCGCACCCGCCAGGCCCTCTGCTGCAAGATGTCCGTGGAGTACGACACGTTCATCGAGTCAGGGCGCAAGTACGAGGCACCGCCCGGCCGGCAGAGCCCAGAACCAAGCTGGGGGGGTGCCTCCTGCCCACCTGTGCCAGGCCCTCACACAAGGGACTCCCCCCACCCACAGGTGGTTCTGCCATGTAGACGATGACAATTATGTGAACCCCAAGAGCCTCCTGCACCTGCTTTCCAGCTTCTCACCCAGCCAGGATGTCTACCTGGGGCGGCCCAGCCTGGACCACCCCATCGAGGCCACGGAGAGGGTCCAGGGTGGCAGAACTGTGAGTGCCGGGGCAGACCCCTTCCCTGAAGCCAGCCCGGGAGGCACAGCAGAGGGCATGGAAAGCTGGGTGAGAAGGGCGTAGGGCCGGGCCCAAGCTGACCCATCCAGGTGGTTTGCGTGGTGTTTCCGGAGCAGGCCAGGCCCCTGACCTGACCCCAGCTGCGAGCCTGGGACTGGGCCAGGTGGGGAGGGTCTGGAGACCAGGGACCAATGACCTGTAGAAGCCACCAGCTCCTCCTACAACAGGAAGCTTCTGTTACCTGGGCAGGATGTCCTAAGGGGCAGCTTAAGAAAGAAGACTGGGGAGTCCCATGAAGAGTTAGGGGTGAGAAGCCCTGTCTTGAGCAGCTCTGACCAGCACCCCATCCCCAGGTGACCACGGTCAAGTTCTGGTTTGCTACTGGTGGGGCCGGGTTCTGTCTCAGCAGAGGCCTCGCCCTCAAGATGAGTCCATGGGCCAGGTGAGTGGGGGGTCCAGCTGCCTGGGCTGGGAGGCGGAGGCTGAGACCTGAAAGGCGCTGACCGGCCTCCCCCCAGCCTGGGCAGCTTCATGAGCACGGCTGAGCAGGTGCGGCTGCCAGATGACTGCACGGTGGGCTACATCGTGGAGGGGCTCCTGGGCGCCCGCCTGCTCCACAGCCCCCTCTTCCATTCCCACCTGGAGAACCTGCAGAGGCTGCCACCGGACACCCTGCTCCAGCAGGTACAGGTGCCACTCCGGCTTCTGCCACAGGGGCCTTGCACCACCCCAGCTCCCCCAGTGGCCCCACTGCCCGGCCTGATGCCCGGCTGGGATTTGCATGTGGCTGGGGGTGGATCCTGGACAGACTCCCCGCCTGCTGGACAGGCTCCTCAGGTACAGTCGGGGTGTGCTGTCAGGCAGAGAGATGAAGGGAAAAGTGCGGCGCTTGGGGCAGGGGGCATGGTCTTTGTGGTGACGGGCACTCGAGCGGGTCTCATCACATGGATCACAGAGGGAATGGGGGGCAGTTTTGGTCTGGAGGTTTCGGATCCCCTGTCCCTGTTCCCCAGGCTCTGCCTGAGGTGTCCCCTGCTCAGCTCATGCCACCTTTCAGTACTGTTCCCGAGCCTGGCCTCCCCAAGGATGTGGGGAGAAAAGAATGGGCAAGGGGGCTTTAGCAGGGCTCCTGGCCAGGGAGAGGCATGGCCCAAGACCAGAGCAGACCACACTCTGCCCATACTATCCCCTCCCAGGTGACCTTGAGCTATGGGGGTCCTGAGAACCCACATAACGTGGTGAACGTGGCCAGAGGCTTCAGCCTGCAGCAGGACCCCACACGGTGAGTGGGCAGTGGTATGGGCAGGCCCTCAGCCCCATGGGGGTGCTGGCATCGGCATGCCCCTCCACAGCCGTGACCCCACTTCTTGCCTCCCAGGTTTAAGTCTGTCCACTGCCTTCTCTACCCAGACACGGACTGGTGTCCCAGGCAGAAGCAGGGCGCTCTGACCTCTCAGTGACACCAGTGGTCCTGACCCACAGCTGCCTGGGCTCCATCCCAGCTGCGGGGAGCTGGAGCCCCCCATGGCCTCAGTGGGCTCCATCAGGTGCCACAGCCACACCAGTGAGATGCAGGCGTCTGGCAGACCCTCTGGCTAGTGTGGTGTCTTGGCTCCACTGCTTACTGCCAAAGGCAGGTGCCAGGCTGACCAGGTGCTGAGGAGCAGGCTCCAGGCTGAGGTCCTGGTCCACAGCCATTGCAAGGGCTTAGCCTGACAGGGTTTGTGGGGGATACCATCCTCTCTGCCACAGGCTGGGTGCATGGCCAGGGATTGCAGTGGGGACTCAGGCCCAGGAAGGCCAAGCTCGAGGGCCAAGCTCTGCTGCCAGCCCCCAGGCCTCATTCGGAGGCCTCCTGACTGGGCCCACAGACATGACTCCTTTCTGGGTCCTGCTCCCGCCCCACTGTGCCTGGGCCCATCAACAGCAGGAGCCTTTTGTTTGGGGCTCCCTGGACTGAGACCACTCCTGATCCACCCATCCCTACATACCCACCTCCCTGCCCGGTGGCTTCCACGGGGGACATGGGGCAGGGGCCAGCATCCCCCTCTGCCTCCTGCTTTGCTGTTGCCAAGCATGAGTAAAGGCTCTGTTCTTACACCATGTGGCTCCCGTCTTAATCACCCACCAGCCCAGCCCTCCTGGGTCCCTGCCATGCCCCCTCCGCCTCCAGGAAGGCCGTCCCAGGCAGGGCTGTATCCTTGCCGTCCTGCCTACCCAGCTTTGAACCCACCAGACTTTGGAAGCCAAAGCCTCTAGCAGGGGTGGCGTGTGGGGGTCCTGCTGGGAGGGACAGACACTGGACGCTGCCGAGGGGCTACCTTCCTGAGTGTCCAGCTCGCCTTCTCGCTGTTGTGTGGAGCCAGTGTGCACGTGGGTGGATGTGTGCACGGTTGTGTGCATGTACATGAGGATGAGTGAACACACAGCTGGTATGTACATGCATATAGGTCAGTATACACCTGTGAGCATGTCCATATGCATCAGTGTGTATGCACATGTACAGGACTGGGTGTGTCCGTGGCAACCTCTGCGTGCGTGGGTGTGTGGAGGGAGGGGGAGGGAGGCAGCACATGGAGTTCGCTCGCTGGTTTCTGTCTCATTCGTTCCTGCTTGGCCTGGAGCAGAAGGCGCCCCAAGGACACTTGAGGTCAATCATGACTGGGTCCTCAGGTTTCCTGGGGAAACCTTTGTCCACTGCAGGCTCTGAGCAGGGAGAGGAATTCTGGGGCTCAGAACAAATGTCAGAGATAAATTTCAGCAAATCTGAAATCTGCATCTCAGCAGAAACAAGAAAAATGCGAATTCTTGAAAGTTGCTGCAGAATTGTAGATGCCCCGAGAGAACGCATCCCGTGTCAGCTGTGGGTGTCTCCACGTGGCCCTGGGTCCCTTGTGCTGGCTCTCCTGGATGTGGGGTTTTGGAGTTGCATTCTCCTCTCCTGAGACCTCCCTCCCAAGCCTGTCCACACAGGTGCCCACGAACGGCGTCCTTGGAGTGTGGGGAACATGGACTGGAATGCGTTGGCACCACCAGAAAGGGTGTTGGGACAAAGTGCCCCGAGGGGCTGTTTCCAGGCCACGAGGCTCCAGCAGATGTCGGTGTGCATGCGCTTCCAAGAGTCTAGCTTGCAGCTCCTCTGAGAAAATAGTGTTGTATCTGTTTTACCTCAACTGTGTCAACACTGGTCTTTTTTTTTTTTTTTTTGAGGCAGAGTTTCACTCTTGTTACCCAGGCTGGAGTACAATGGCGCGATCTCGGCTCACCGCAACCTCCACCTCCCGGGTTCAGGCAATTCTCCTGCCTCAGCCTCCTGAGTAGCTGGGATTACAGGCAAGCGCCACCATGCCCAGCTAATTTTTTGTAGTTTTAGTAGAGACGGGGTTTCCCCGCGTTGACCAGGATGGTCTCGATCTCTTGACCTCGTGATCCACCCGCCTCGGCCTCCCAAAGTGCTGGGATTACAGGCGTGAGCCACCGCGCCCGGCAACACTGGTCTTAAAACCTAAAGCACTATGTTGTCGAGCAGAAAGGAAATGGTCATTGGTGTTTAAGCCACGCTGTGAGGTTGCATTGTGTCCGGTCTGGGAGGTCACCCTGTTTCATTTATGCTTTCCTTTTTTTTGGTCTAAGTTTAGGTCCACGATGTCCTGAGGCTTTTCTCCTAAGCAACCAGCCACACCACTCCCTTCTGTATTGCTGGGCTGTGTTTATAAATGTTTCAAACCAGCAATTTTCCACTTTGATTCCAACAGCCATTCCCAGGCAGGGCCAGTCCTGCTGCTTAGATGTTCTGGGAAGAGCCTCTGGCCAGCCCAGGCCCAGTTCCTACTGGACCCAGTTGGCTCCGGCTGCAGAGAGACAGCATGGACGCTGGTGGGGAGAGAACCGAGTTGCGACCACACCTCTGGAGGAAACGGGGCTTGGAGGAGGCAGGGGTTATTCAGGGGGCCAGCCTTATGAGAAGAAGCCAGGCAGGGCCCCGTAGGCAGGCACTGTTAGGCCCCCAAGACAGCGAAGTGGTAACAGGGACAGGTCACAGGAAGCATGTCATGGCAGCTGACGGGGAAGGGTGCACACTCTGGACACCTCCCTTCAGCCCTAGGGGCCTCGAACAACAGGAAACGACCAGCTGCAACGCGTCCGGAGAACACCTCCCGACCGCGATGGAACGCGGGTGCTCTGCAAGCGCACGCAGGACGTTCTTCAGGAGAGACCATATGTCAGGCCACAAATCAAGTCTCAATGTATTTAAAAAGACAGATGTTAAAGCCCTGTGGCAGTGGCACAAGCTTATAGTCCCAGCACTTTGGGAGGCCGAGGCGGGAGGATCACTTGAGCCCAGGAATTCAAGACCAGCCTGGTCAACATAGGGAGACCCCCAGAGTCTTTCTTAAACAGAAAGAAAAAAGTATTATACGAAGTGTCATCTCTGAATCTAGAGTAGAAGGAAATCTGGAAGAATCACAAATTTGTAGAAATGTAACAACACACTCTCAGTGGGTCAAGGAAGAAATCACAAAATACTTGCAGACACATAGAAACAACTTAAGACTTAGGAGATGCAGTTTTGCTAAAGGAGATGCTTACGATCGTGAAGCTGACGTTCAAAAAGAAGGCTCTGCGCCATGCTGCGCGTGGCAGAGCCCTGCTCTGTGTGGAGCAGCTTAAAAATGATACTAAAATGAGTATAAATGCTTGACGGGGTGGACGCCCCATGTCCCATGACGTGCGTCTGTCACACTGTGCACCTGTGTCAAAACATCTCGGACACCCCATAAACAAATATCCTTACTATGTGCCCACAAATTTTTTTTAAAATAATAATTAAAAGAAAAAAGAATAAAAAGAAAAGGGCTGGGCGCGGTGGTTCACGCCTGTAATCCAAGCACTTTGGAGGCCAAGGCGGGTGGATCACCTGAGGTCGGGAGTTCAAGACCAGCCTGACCAACATGGTGAAACC